TTCATCACTGCATTAATTCATGAAAATGTTGCAGATTCACCTGCTCTCTGAGCATGTTTTCATCATACTCTCTGTGATGATCTTTCACATCAACTGTATCAGATAAATTCAGACTGTATTATCAATGCTTCTGCAGAAGATTCATATTATAACTATAATCTGTTTCTTATTCAGCAGCTTCTGCATGAGTTTGACAAGATTCTTACAGACTTTGACCTGTCTGCATGCAGCTCTGTATAGAATAATCTTATTAAAAACCAGCTACTTTTTAAGAAGTAGAACTACAATCTTATAGAGAAAATCATCACTGCAGATGCTTTGCAGATGCAGTTAAATGATGATTAATATCATGCATATGATTCAATTCTGACTGTAATAGAATTACAGTTATCTCACTATTTTCTACAAGATTCTGATAACACTGATAAAACATTTCTTTACAGAGCTCTCTATAGCTGTCTATATACAGGTGAAAAAACAGTTCTTTGTATAACTTTCTCTGATATTGTAGCTGTTCTTTTACTGCATGACAGAACTACTCACTCATATTTTATCATCTCAATTGAATTAAATGCAGATTCTGTGTCAAAGATAATTATTCACAGTGAACTAAGCTGTCTGCTGCAGGCTGTAGACTTGATTATTTAAGATGAGACTCTTATGCAGTATCACTATTATATGAAGATTGTTAACTATCTTCTTCAAGATTTATATTCATCAGATGAGCTTTTTGATGATATATCTGTTATATTTAATAATGATTTTATACAGACTCTGTCTGTTGTACTGTGTGACAGCTATGCTGCAGTTATTACAGCTTATCTGCAGTATTCATATATATGACAGCAGTTAACTGTACTGCACTTGAGAAGGAATATAAGACTGACTGCAGATAATAACAATATAATGTTTATAAATTAACTTAATTAAATATTATATAATTCAGACTGTATTAATCATGTTGATCTTTCATTCTATATTCATCAGACTGCTGATATCAGTGTACTGTGTAAGAGAGTATTTTCTACAGCTGAACTTAGAACTGCAGCAGTCTGCTCTAATTACTTTGAAAGCTGTGTCATTCTCACTGTATTAAATCAGAATGTATTCTGCATTAATGAATAAGTTATAACAGTTATATCAGATAATATTCATATATTTTATACTGCAGATATAACTTATACAGATGATCTGACTCTGAGCTGTAAGAAGTTCTTCTATGAATATCTGACTGTTATTAACTGTTCAGCTCTGTTATCATCTATATTAAGATTGAAAGTAAGCACTTCTGTTATACTTCTATATAATCTCTGACTATCTGAAGAGCTCTGCAATGACATAAGAATGATTATTCAGCAGATGATAATCTATTTACTTGAGATGAAGATCATATCTGATATGTATAAGAGTTCAGTTTATATACTGTCATGAATTAATCTACAAGCTCAATCTGTTGAGATTTCATTTGATATAACTCACTGTCAGTTTTCAGTTCATTTATACTTTGTAATGACAATTAATAAGTCTCAGAGACAGTCTCTTTCTACAGTTAATATTAATCTCAGAAACTCTGTATTCTCACATGATCAGCTATACATTACACTCTCTTAAACTACAGATATTAATCAGTTAACTGTCTTACTAGATGAGAATGATAAGAGATGTATATTAAATAAGATATATTCAGAGATTCTACAGTTTCTTAACTAATTCTTCTACTACTACTGTTTTTTCTTCATTATCTATATAATACTATTATCAGACATTAAAATAGAGGTCTTTGAATATGTAAAAAACTGTCATTTCAATTTGATATTAACTATTAAAGAAAAGAAAAAAGTAATAATATCTCACTAAGCTCATTCTCACATCTTACACAGCTTATACAGCTTATTCATATCACTCTCTATTTTTTGAATTTTTTAATCAGAGCTGTAATGTCTGTGAAGATACTTTGTTAACTGAGCTGAGTTATCTACAACAGACTCACAGTTTTATCTTACTCTCTATATAAATATTTCATCTCTTTCTTCATCTTACAGAGTCAGTGCATCTTCACTCACAGTTATAATAACTTTAACTCTGTGATCTCACTGTCACTAACTTCATCATTCTTCTCTTTATTCTTCAGAGTTATAAATATCATCTATTTCTTTTTAACTGAATCAGACAGCTGAGTCATCTGATCTGACTTTATACTGATAGTCTGCTTCTTTCTCTTTCTCTTCTTCTTCTCATTCTTCTCTGTATTAATAGAAGTGAAAGACTGCTAATTCTCTATTATTTTTATATCAGTATATATATTTTACATATACATTTTGCTAATGAATTTATATGTTATAGAGATGATTCATTACTTATCAGACTGCAAGCTGCAGTGTTTACTCAGTGAATTATAGTAATAATTTACACAGACTCTCTTTAATATATTAAAGATTATAATATACTTAACAAATGAATCATAACTCTTCTTGCACAAGCTGTATAATAAAGTGACTTTGATATCACAGCTATGAGTAAGTACTGATTCTACATTTATTATTCTTTTTAACTGAGACTTGAATTTCTTCTCACACAGTACTATATCTCTCTTAGACTTTATCTCACATAGCTGTGCAATAATCTCACTGTCTTTCTTAGCTATTTATTCTATCAGCAGCTGTAGTCTATATTCAGATGTTCACATGTTGATGAGCTGCTGACATGACTGCTGAGAAGTGAGTGTAGATAAATTAATAAGCTGCTGAGTCTTCAGAGCTCTCTGAGCTTGCTGAGCTTGCTCTGCACTATTATTAGCTATAATTTCATAATTTCTGAGCTGTTTCTCTTTCAGTTCTCTACTTACATTCAATCATTTTAACTGCTTCAATTGTATTTCAGATGATTTGATGATTAATTGAAGTAAATTATGACATGTTTCAATTGCTGATTATATATATTGTAGTTCTAAAATCTTTACATGAGCTGTCTGACATTTAATTACATCTCACTTAAAGCTTCTACATTAACTCTACAACACTGCTACAGTGTTATTCATCTTTTTTCTATGTAGTTGTTCTCTATTAACAGTTGTGGATTACATGGAATTCATTTATACAAGTCATGTGCAGCTGTTCATATTCATGGATATCTCATTACATTCAATCTGAGGGATTAAACAGCACGTTTTTCAAGCTGAATAAGCGAGCGCAAGCGAGCGATTGAGGCTTGTTCTATATAAATAATAGACAGCTATTCTTTCTCCACTCTATGAGTGAGAGTAGCTGAAACAGTGCTTGCAGCAGTGTCTCACTGATATGCAAGAAAAAATCTGCTGACTCTGTATAAAAGCAGAGTTCTTATATTCATCAATCAGATTCTTCTATAACGTGATCAACCACCTAACGCCCGCTCAATCTTCATTTTTTCATCCATCTTCAAACACTCACAACATGCATCACAAAGCAGTTATACAAGCAGCAATTGATAATTTGAATGTGCAATTGATCTCTACTTACACTGAGGCTGCTAAAAAATATGGAATCAGTTGATGTACATTATCACAGTTAGACTGACCGTGTGAGCGTGTCTGGGACCAGGACCAGAATATTTGATAGTCTCATTACCAATTTGATTGATCTCATTACACAGTACGGAGTAGTTAGTTTCAACATCTGCCTGCTTGTTACTGGGATTTGCCTCGACCTTTGTTCTGACAAAATTTCGTTGATACTTTTCATTCTTTCAATCTCTTGGGAAGAAAAATACATTAACCCAACCAAGAAGCCCCGCTGAGGTCTTAAAACGTTCTCTGGAGAAATTCGCCGGGATGAAAGTTTGGCGCGGGACCTTCCTGTTATTTATCACATACTATGTTGGCGCCAACGTTGACTCTGCAAGCAATAACATATTAAATAATAGCGCTCAGGGACGCGTGTTTAACCGCCTCCATTTGACTGATGGATATACCAATTCATTTCAGCGAAGGGTTCTTCCCGAGCTGGAATCATGCAACATGGCTTCATTCGCCCTCAGCGGCAACGTATGTCCCATGTGTCTCAACCAGCTGCTCTATTCTAGCTAAAAGGAGCGTCTTCGTATCGATCTTACAGCTCCGCCAGGGACGTCTGATAAGAACATCTATTTATTTCATAGATTTATCATCTCTGAAGTGGTCGCTGGATTCTACTCCTAAACTACAGGCACATCCGACTGTTGAATTTATTACTTCCTGTGCGCTGTTCTCAAACTGTTGTTCTGCTTATAGCTGCATCCTGCCACGACCAAAGCGCAAGCCATAGAGTATCCTCTGACAACCTTTGTACCATTTGAATCAGCATGTCTGTTGATGGTAGTTGGCCTGGCTTTGACCAGAAGCAATGGCGTAGCCAGCCTAACACTCTTTTCTACTATCTTGTGGATGTCTCAGGCCCTTGTCGACAACCTCCTTCAAAATTAAATCGGGGCTCGTTTCAGCTGGATCCTCCCGACGATAATATCGACTGGTCCGATATAAGCCAGAGTGCAACCACCTCCCAGAGCGATCATCTCCGTTCCACTGGATTTGACCGACGGCATACCTCTCCTATTTTGAGTAAAACTTTGGATGATACGAGAGACAGTCTCCCACCTGAGGAGGTACCTTATGAGAGTATTTTTTACGAGTCGTCGTCACAACCGAAAACCTGGAGCCTGATCTTCCAGAACAATGGTAATCCGACGTTCGAGATGAGCTGGGTGTTATACAATATTGCACGCGTCATCGTAACTATACCTATCCTAGAGTGATAATTATCATTTTTCATTATTGTCTGCGTGAAAGCTAATTTAACTACTTGGACTGACTATGTACTCCGAGCTTCGCGTGGAGCATATCTTTGTCCAAACTCGTACGAACGAATCGACCACCATCCCTGATGCCTATCCGTCCCACGAATATTTCCGTCTCTTTCGTATCGCGCGGGAGGAGCTCGAGGATAAATGGCTTCTAGAGGAATGGTCCAAAATCCCATTTCCTGAACATGGAGATAACCGCGCAAAACGAACCCGAGAACATGTCTTCAGCAAACACCTTGGCACCAGCTATAACAGAGCACCCAGCGGAGACGAAGATGGCTTCTCAATCGCGTAAAGTGTCTCAAGACCTTGACTGTGTCAATATGCTGAATACCTTCCACCGCCACTGGTATGGCTATGGCCGTAGGCATCATATCGCTCACACGCAGGGGTGTCAGTCTCACGCCTCTGTTAGGAGTGCTAGCCGTCATGAGGTTAACGCGGCTGCTGATGAGGAAGATTCCGTGGATAATAACCATTCATTGGCTGGCAGCGAAGGCGGTTGGAGCTCCAAGATCGAATGTCATGAATCAACAAAGCGACGGGTCGGATAGCTGTCCCAGCGACGCTTCGCTCCCTTCAGGCCAGCGTCCGGCATATCCTGAGATCTTTGAATTCACTTCTTCCCCTAGGCTTCTGTGTTTTATCTACATCCGATGACCTCCAATCCGTGTGACACGAAAACTTATGAGGCCTTCTACAATGAGGGGATATCAAGAGATGAGGATACTCGAATGGGAAGCGACTATGATGGGGATTGTGATGATAGCGAAACAGAGAAGGGTACCCGTCTTGACAATGTGAAGAAGCAGGATGTGAAGAATTTGTCCGGTGGGAGCTAGGCGGATGATGAGGAGTATTATAGGAGCGTGAGACGGCTATGAAGGCACAGTAGGCGGGATTGCAGCTAGAAGTGCATAAGCGGGACCCGGGGCTGTGTGAAAGGGGTTGTCGTGGAGGATGGCTCCTCGATCTTACGAAAGGATCACGACATGCGAGACGTATGTTGGACTATTACGATACTCACGTTTGGGCTCTCTTTAATAAGTTCTATTTCTAGGATATTTGGGGGTACTTTTAGTTGGTGAATTTTATTATTTCGTCGGAGCACGTTGATTCGTTGATTCCGGATTTTTTGGTAATAATATATTCAGCCATGTGTTGACTTAAATCTATCCTTGCATTTTAATGATATTGTCTCGGGACGTTTCAAGTTCTTCCTTTCTACCCATAACAAGCGAAAACTTATAGCGATACAACACTAAATATTTCTCGATTCCTACCTTTCAAATAGTCTTACTACACATTTCATTTCACAGGCCAGGAAATGGGGTATAATAAATAGGGGACTGGCGCATATCCAAACCCCTCTCACCTCAATTTCCCAAACTCACACATCGACCTGTCTAACTCTCTTCCTCCTCTTCCCATCCCTCCTAACCAGCGCACTCTTCTCCCTACACCTTCTCGCCAACTTCTCCCTAACCACCTCCTCCCTCTCATACCTCTTCTCAATCCTCAACCGATCCCTCTCCTCCCCCTCCCCCCTCCTCCGCTCCCTCTCCTTTTCCCTCTCCCGCTCCCTTTCCGCCTTCCTCCTCCGCGCCACCACATGCCCATCCGCATTCAAATACCCATCACCATCCTTGCGTCCTGCTGCAGCTGCGAGAGCAACCCCCTCCGCCTCCACCCTTAACCTCTCCACCTCCCCGCGCGCCACAACCCACGGTACGCTGAGCACCTGCAACCGAAATCGCGTCCTCTCATCCCAGAACCGCACCTCTGCATTCGTATCGCGCAGGATTTCATAGCGCTCGAGATGGAGCTGGAGCATGCCGCGGAAACATGAGATGGTGCCTTTGAGCTTTGCGCGTGCGCCAGGGAGCAGCGGGGTGATGTTGAGAGGCCTGTTGGTGGCGGAGGCTAGGTGGGTGGGCTGCGTTGGTGACGTATTATTATTATTGTAGTTGTTGCTGCTGTTGCTGTTGTTGGTGGTGGTGATGGCATTGGTGTTAGGTACCTGTACATTCTTCGAACAGACAACCTCGAGACAGGCGCCGGAGCTATCGTCTAGAACGAGGATTGAACGGCGTTCCTGCTCGTCGCGCGCGACGATGATGCCGGCTGCGCAGATGAATTGGATGGGGTGGTTGAGGTAGAAATAGATATTTTGACCTGTCGGTTTTGTTATTGTGTGTAACTGTATATATATAGGCATACACAATACGTAGTGTTTTGGGAAATGCGCATACCTTCGAATCCCGGTCGGAGTTTCAGGTGGTGCATATCGATCGCAGCAATTTTCACCCAGGCGAAGAAGGTGGGCGAGATCTTGTGGCAGAAGGCAGGATAGTATGTGAGGGGGAGGGGGCCATGGTGACTGTGATCTGCCATGAGTTCATGGTGCGGGCTTGATGGGGGCTGAGAGTTGATTCCAAGGCTGGTTGGGTCTTGGAGGTTGAAGGATTGTTTGGTCTTTTTAGTTTCTTCGTTGTCTTCTCTTTATGGATTTGAATATATTTCGCATTCAGCCGCCTAGGTATGAAATTCGGCTGTTGAAGTATCACCCGATGGAAATAACGATGCCTGGTTTGTATATATGACTTTTGACGCAGAAACGCGTGGTCATGTGACTGAAATTAGCGCCATCAGCCTCATAGCTTAAACCAACGCCAGGGGATTCTGTCCTGAACTGAACAAGCAGTTGCTTTATCATTCGTTGTGCTTCCAACGGATTCTGGCAATTGCAGTCAGCAGAAAGTTTAAGGGCAAATCCATTCGTTACTTTGTTTATTAGTCAGGATGCAGACGTACGCTACCTGTACACCGTATTTCTTTTCATTCCATGCTATGTTTCGCAACGATCGGGCGTCGGATGGGCACCGCATCTACCGTGTTAGTAGCTTGAATTGCCTTATTGGCAATTTGCAGAATGCAATATGCAAGGTGTCGGATAACCGATCCTGATGGACAAACAAAGGAACCTGCTGTGGTCTAACTTTTAAGGCTAGCACCTTTATATATGCCATACCTTATGGTATACATGAAAACTATTTCCAAGGTCGTCTTATTATACGGCAGAGCAGCAAGCCAAACGTGGAAGAGATACATATACTCTCTGATTTGACTGTGTAGTCATATCTGAGTTATATCGATTTCTTGTTGGCTATCTGCTTGTTTAACTGGCCTCTGCTTAGTTTCCCTCTGGCGTGGATTTCTTTGTGCTATCCTCCTATTTATCCCTTTGATCTTCTACTATCTTCCTACTCATCGAACCTCTCATTAAGGATGTGAAATGCTGTCCTGACCACCTCAATTTGCACATAACTTTCACGTACCTCTGGTGTGACCCTAAATCTTCCAACCCAAATCCCTCAATCGAAAATATAAACACATCTTGCTTGCATTACCCTCTCATCGCACAATGTCTCCCTCCTCAGCATCAAGATCGAAAAAGCTCTCCGGGCTGCTGCTCTTCCTCTTCCATATCCTGTTCACAGTCACGCTTGCACTTCCACTCGAAAATACGAACACTGTCGCTCCAGACCAAATAAGGAAAATCGCACCGACCCGGACCCCATCCCCACCATCACCATCACCACAGTATACCCCGGTATGCCGAGACCCAGCGGCAGCCGCAACAACTTCAGGCTTGCCCTGCCCAATTGACACAAACTGCTATATTGTAAATTCGAGTGGGGAGTTGGTGTGCCGTTGATCGGATACTAGTCCACACCGTCCTTGAGAGTGGTGCATACCTACCTACCCGTTAAGCCCATCAGACGCAGCAGACCCCCACCCAACGAGCAACACACTCTCACTTTTCCAAGGCCTTAATGCCATCTTGCCCTCTTGGCTACACCCAGGGGAAGACGGCACTTCTTAGTCATTTTTATACCTTAAACCATATATACGGGCGGTGGTGGTGTGATTGGTGAAGATGCGGATTACTAGCAATCTACTTTTATTAAATTAGAATTTTATTATATGTTATTATATGACTTTCCATGCAAAAAAAAAAAAAAAAAAAAAAAAAAAAAATATCGCCCCTTAGATATCCGCCTCCATCATCCTCTTCTTCGGATTTCGTGGTAACGCAGCCTGCCTCCTCCTCTCCTTCTCCGAAATATCATCGATAGTAGTCCCCTGTCTCTGCCTGTCATCTTCCATCCCCTCCTTCTGACTATCAGCTGTATCCCCATGCCCCGCCTTCGCCACGCTCAAAATTTCCTCCTCCATCCCCTCCACAACCTCCCACTCCACCCCGGCCTCATCCAGCATCCTACAACCCACCGAACCCCCCACAAATGTCTCCGGTTCTTTCACGCCAAAGTACACCTTGTCAATACCGGACTTTCTCCGCGTGGCGTTTGAACCGGGCCCGTTTGAAGCATCGAGACCATGTGACGTTTTATTTTCTATTTCCGACGAGGACGACGAGCGGCTCGTTTGAATAATCCGCGCCGCACACGGCGTGTTACCCGATAACCGCTTCCCGCATGGTTCCATAGTGACGTAGAGGACTATCTTCTGTTCATGATTACGTTCTTGGTCTTTGTCTGTCCCCGTCCCTGTTCCCGTACCTGCGCTTCTCGCGTCGGGAGAAAGAGGCGGTGGTAAAATGTCCCCTATCCGCTCCTCAGTCACGCCATGGCTCGCTGCATATTTTTCCAGGGCGCATTGTTCGGCGTGCGTGTTTCCCGGTAGCTCGAGGGTGTAGCCGGTGGAAAGGATTGTGTCGGCGTATGTTGGTGTTGTTGTTTCTGTTGTTGTTGAGGCGTGGAGGGTTCGCGAGAGGAGAATAGCGCCTACGCGGAAATTTGTAGGTTTTGGCGGGGATTTTTGGGCTAGAGAGAGACAGGCGCGGAGGTAGTGGAGATGGGTTTGGAGGTTGTTTTCGTGGGAGGTGAGGGCGGTGATGGTGCGTGAGGGGGTGGTCGGGGGGGTCATTGTTGGAGGTGAAGGATTTGACAGGTAGCGGATGGGTTGTGGTTAGTTGCACATGGGTATTTTGGTGTGGATTTTGTTGTTTTTAATATGTAGTTTTCTATATTTATTCTCGTGGAAACGTTATTGGAATATCCTACTTGTTGGATTGAGGAACTCAAGATTGCGGGCGACGACGTCATTGGCACGGAAATTTTTGCGGATGAACTAATTTTCCGCGTTCTGAGGCGCGCGTGTCGCGTTAAATTGATTTTACACTGATAGACCAGGGAACAACAACACTTGAAATGAAAGGAACGAAGCTACTTTGATCTGACCTGCTACACTTGATATATATCCAATCTCCGAAGCCCACACTAAAAAAAAACCTTTCCATTTGGGGAAATAAATATCTCAATTACCTCCAACCACCATCTAAAAACCAGAAAACAGTTGCTCGCGATGCCGTCGCAAGCTGACGAACCCGTGCCTGACGAGCCACCATCCTTAGTCAACCCATATGAGGTGCTGGGCGTAGAGGAGAAGGCGACGGCAGATCAAATAAAATCTGCTTACAGGAAGCAAGCTTTAAAACACCATCCAGGTATGATACCTTCCCAATATCCCAACCAAGCATTCCCCTGATTCAATTTAAACTACCACCACACACAATATAGACATGTCTTAACAATTGTGCTAATAATAATAATAATAATAATAATAATAATAATAATATACAGACAAAGCAACCCCAGACTCCAAAGAAAACGCTCATAAAAAATTCCAAGAAATTGCCTTCGCCTACGCCATCCTCTCCGACCCACGCCGCAGACACCGCTACGACACAACAGGAAACACAGCCGAATCCCTCGACCTCGGAGACGACGACTTCAACTGGGTTGATTTCTTCCGCGAGCAATTCTCCGCCGTCATCTCTGGCGAAGCTATCGATAAAATCAAGCGCGAGTATCAGGGCTCCGAGGGGGAACGGACGGATCTGTTAGCCGCCTATGAGCGGTTCAAGGGCGATCTGGACAGGGTTTATGAAGAGATTATGCTCAGTAATGTGCTGGAGGATGATGGGCGGTTTCGAGAGATTATCGATGCGGCGATTGCGGCGGGGGAGGTGAAGGATTGGCCGAAGTATTCGCGGGAGACGGAGAAGAAGAGGGCGCAGCGGCTTGCGAAGGCGAGGAGGGAGGCGGAGGAGGCGGAGGAGCTCGTGGAGGAGTTGGGGATTGGTGATAAACTAAACAGGAAAAAAGGCCAGGCGAAACAGAAAGGGAAGCAGGATAGCATGAGCGATTTGGCTGCGCTGATCCACCAGAGGCAGAAGAGCCGCGCGGCTGCGTTCCTGGATGACATGGAAGCTAAGTATGCGCCGTCCTCTGGATCGAAAGCAGCAGCTGGTAAGGGGAACGGGAGAAAACGGAAAGCTGGGGAGAGGAACGGCAATGAGCCGCCCGAGGAGGCCTTTCTGGCCACTGCAAAGCGCAAGGCATCGAATGATAAGTCCCGGGATACGGCGACGGCAACGACGGAGACTAAGGGACGGTCCGCTCGGCGGGGAGCCTAGGGTAGGTCATAGCCTCACAGGGGGTATCTCATTGGAGTGGTGGATTATGCATTGTTTCTGGTTGGTTGTGTTCGTGTGTGCTTTCTTACTGTGATGCACTCTTTACACCGCCAATTCGGTTTCCTATTTATTTATTTTTTTTCTTTAATTCTGTGCTCGTTTGAAGGGTCAGATTACTAGATGGATGTGGAATTTGCGGTTGATTTGCTGTCTTTTGACCACATGGGCTTAAATACGAGATATGATAGGCGCACTGGGCGGTGGTTCTCTACCCTTCTTTTTTTTTTTTTTTTTTTTTTTTTTTCTCTTAAGATCTCTGCTGGCTTTGGTTTGTGTACTCTTTGTATTTTATTCTTTTTCTTTTTTGTCTTAAACCGTCGGTTTTACACACACTGGGAGCGTTTGACGGTAAGGGAGGACAAGGATAAGCTAGCTAAACAAGAATTGATGTGATAGGGCGCAATTGGACAGCTTTTTTCAGCTCTCAGTTTTTCATCCATTTGCATATTTTCCTTCTCCTTCTCCCTTGCTCAAAAATAATATCGTCTGCACGACGCTCAGAACACAGGTGAGAGTATTCGCCTCAGGTGTCGGACCCTGGCTGGCGGCTAAACCGGCCACGTCCCCATGCCGCATGCATAATACATTGCATCGCAGCAGGGCGGTCGAGATCCTAACTCCCCGATCGTAATCCCAAGCCCAGCCCTACGGCTAACTCACTCTACTAGTCCAAGCTCTAGGTGCGGTGCCACATGAGGCCGAATCACGGCAACTTTCTGATTGTTTATATATCCACACTCTATCCTCCGTTGCAGCGCGGAGACATATTCCCTCCCTTGGTTGCTTTGGTTGCTGATAGACACGCAATACTAGACACCAGCTGAGAAAGAAACCGTTCAGGTTTGCCAAACCCGGTTCTCAACAGCGATATCTTACCAGTACCAGGGTCTTTTCACATTCACATTTTTATCCCGATGCGGATCCACTCCTTGACATCTCGAACCCCCCCCCCGCCATGGTATGGCTGTGTAATGGCTTGGTAGGCTGCTTGGCTCCAGCTTGCCTGGCCTTGGCTGCTGGAGTCTTGATCCTCTTATTAGATTAGCCTGTTAGAAGAATTTGGGAAAGGCCTCATTGGGCCTGCTTCTGGATTGTAGACAATACGCAGTAACGAGCCCACCGGATGTTGCTTCAGCCACTTTTGTTCCTACAGAATTTTATCTTTCCCTCTTGCCTGCCCCTCTTTCTTGTGTAGATAGATAGTCCTTTTCTGCTGTTTGTGTTTTGTTTGTTCTGTATCTTAGGGCAATTCTCTGTGGCTGTCAGCTATTTCCATAGCTTTTGACCTCCTCTCCCAGTCAGTTGGTCTGCCGTCTACTGTCTGCGTGGTTGTAAGCAGAAGCAGGCAAAGAGAAGTGTGGCCAGGCGTGAGCAAGCAGTCAGTCCCCCCCTCCTCCTCAATAATATTAATGATGTGTGTCTGTGGCTGTATGTGGAGTCTCCGCCAACGCCACCCAACTGCTAGGCTAACGTTAATTCTCTTAGCTAAGCAGTCGCGCCGCGATACAAGAACATGTATGTTGTCTTGCCCGGAGATGAGGTATTGGCAGAAACACTAGATGTGGATTATGAGAAAGGTGAATAATTCTTGATTAATCTATAATATGTCGCGACTCTCTCCCTCCTGACTGGTTACTGCTGATGTGTTGAATTGTGCCTTTGCAGACACATTATTCTATGACACTAACTAATTAAGCCTCCACCGGGCCTTAGCTTGTTCCACACAATCTACATACTTACACATACTCCACTCGCCTTCATCAATCCATCCTCTTCCTTCTCTCCTCTCATTTTCTTCTCACCATGCCACCGAAAAAGATGTCGCTGGAATCCGCACTAGACGAAGAGCGGCGCGAGATTCTGGATATCCTCGAGGGTCGCCTCCGTCGCTCCCCCCAACAACAGCCTTCTAGAGCTCGCCATGCCAGCCCCACGCCTCCAATCAGGAGCATGCTGGATGTTGCTCCCGACCCAGCTTTACAGAGGCATAACTCCATCGCGGGCCCCAGTGCGAGCGTTGGCGTCACGACCCCTTCCTCCAGCAGCCGATCAGCGCCCCCGGTGCGCAGCTTGCTCGATCCTATCTCACCATCTCCTCTCCGTTTGACCCACAGTGCCGAATCGCGGCCTACTGAATATGACCCTGCCACAACTTCCCCAATACTCCCCACATCTCCCACATCTCCCAAATCTCCCAAATCTCCCAAATCTCCCAATTCTTCAATATCATCATCAACCCGCGAGGAGTCCCATCCTCGTCGCTCGTCAGAACCCTCAGGCCACAGCGGTTCACTGCCCAGTCCAACCAGGAAGAAACAGGGCATTGAGGAATACCAATTTGAAATGCTGCCCAGTATTCCAAACCAAGCCCTGCCGAAGCGGGTGGCGCAGGGCGGAAAGAAATCTGCAACTCACACGAACAATGCCGCACACACTAGCTCCATGGTAGCTGTCATGTCGGGGCAGGAATTAGGCGGTCTACATGGTTTCACAAGAGGGCGGGATACAATACGACACGGAGGCGCTGTAGGTGTCTCTGGGCGCCATTCCAGGTCCCCTTCTGCACGGCTGGCGCGATCTCGCTCGCCAGGCACTGGCCTGCTAAATACAAACTCGTTTAACCCAATGCCCGTTCCAGGAACATTTGTTACGGATACGGGCAAAGTTATTCATCTAGATCACGCATATCGCCAATTGTCGAATGCAGCACTGTCAAGGTCTAGTGGCACATTATCCCGGTTCCGGAAATCTCCTACAAGTCGAGAGCGTGGGGAGGATGCGGTTTCAGAATCCGGAGATAGTCGACTCCAGGAGGACTATTACTCTGGTGACGAGGCGGTTAGTGGAGATAATAGTAGCGGTGATGAGAATGATAATTCGAGCTCGGGCGAGGAAGATTGGAGCGCTGAAATACAACGCGGACGTCGACACGGTAGGAAGAAATCTGATTCGGAGGAGAATGGCGTCAACAAGAGTGGTGGCCCGCAGCAAGTGCGGAGTCTTCTTGCTGCTGCTGACGAAGAACGTATGTTTTATTTTTATTTTATTTTTATTTTTCTTTTACATCTTACATGGGGATTCCCTATATGAGGAGGGAATATTTCGGCTAACATGTCATCTGCTTCTAGGTAAGAAGGTCTCATCTACATACAAGGTTAAATCATTACTCGATCCAGTACCCGTGACCGCGAAAGCAGCTACAGAAAAACATCTGCACAAAAAGACCGGCGTTGTCCACCCAACAACCAGCTTCGACTACGCAGGCTCAGGCGCAAACACCCCCGCTGGCTCAGACGATGAAGCACAGTACAGCGACTTCAAAAAAGCCCAGAACCTCAGCATCTACATGTCCCCCATCGACCAGTCCGTTCCCAACCGTGTAATTCGTACCATCGTCCGCGGCGAGTTTACACGCGTGCAGGAAGAAGCGGAACAGAACGGCCGCATGCGATTACGCACGTACCTCGTCGCGACGGATCTTAGCGACGAGTCCGTCTACGCGCTGGAATGGACGATTGGCACCATCCTCCGCGATGGCGACACGCTCTATGCCGTCTATGCTATTGACGAAGAGACCGGGTCTGGGTCTGGCGCTGGAAAAGGTGAACCAGATTCCTCGTCGTCGGTGCAGATTGGCGATGGGCTTAAGGCGATGCTGGATGCGGCTGCCGTTGTTGGATCGCAGACGAAGAAGACGGCGGAAAATTTGACAAAGGCGTCGCCGTTGCCTTCGGCGAATACGTCGTCGACTCAGATTAGTGGAGGGAGCGGGGGTGGTGGTGGAACTGACAGCAAACCCGGCTCTGCAGATTCGCGGGCTGTGTCCAAAGACGAGGCGGAGAGGTTTCGAGCTATCGAGGGGATTTCGCAGACGGTTGTGCGGTTGTTGAGGAAGACGAAGTTACAGGTTCGGGTTGCTGTTGAAGTTATTCATTGTAATAGTCCGAAGCATCTGATTACTGAAGCTGTAAGTTTTGATGAATTGGCAATTTGTTTTCTTAGTGTTGTTTATCTACCCATTTCCCTGAACTCCTCTCCGTGTCTTTTTTATTTTTTTTAGTCTTTGTGAATGCGATTTGCTGACGGGCACGTTAGATTGATGGATTGGAACCTACACTGGTAATTCTGGGATCAAGAGGCCGCAGCGCGCTTAAAGGGTAAGTCATTCATTCATCTCATCCATCTATATATATATTATGTCATCCCATTCCAGCCCTTGTCCCTAATTCTTTTTATTTATTATTATTTTCGCACCAAGGAAAGGAAACCCCCAAAAGAATTGCTAACTCGGATATACAGCGTCCTCCTCGGGTCCTTCTCAAATTACCTCGTCACCAAATCCTCCGTGCCCGTGATGGTCGCGCGGAAGAAGTTGAAGAAACATGCGAAATTCAAGCCGGCGAATGTACGCTTGCTGAATAATCTTACAACGCCGAAGAAGCTGGTGTATGCGAAGATTGATTGATTGATAATTTCTTTTCTTTTCTTTTCTTTTCTTTTCTTTTTTTTTTTTTTCTTTGTGATTTTTCTGATTCCGATGTTTGTTAATTCATCCAGGGTGTGGGTATTTCTATATACTGATTTTTTCTTTTGTCTTTGCCTTTTCCTTCGGTTCGGGGTATTTTCCCCTGACTTGCCCTCTGGGCTTTGTGGCCTTTTTGCGTAAACCCCATTGCATGCATAGTTGAGCTGGTTTGGGTTTGGGTTTGGGTGGGTTTTGTCAGGTTTCTTTTCGCGTTTCTTTTCTTTCTTGACTGACTGGGATAGTTACCTCTCTGGTATTCTTTTCGTCTTTTTCTTTTTCTTTTTCTTTTTCTTTTTCTTTTTCTTTTTCTTTTTTTTTTTTATGTAAGTGTTCCCTGGTATTACTCTTTTCCTTTTAATTCTTGTCTTTCTCATGGGAGATGCAGAGATGAAAAAGAATTGAGTTCCTTCCTCATAACTTGATGAAAGTTATAGTTAACTAACTCTTATGCATAATTACAAATGCTCTACACCGAGTGAATATTGATAGCCTTCTTTGAAATATCCTCGAAATATTCCCCTGAGCTATCTAACCCGTGGATATTCTCTACAATTTATATAACAACAGATCTCAGATCTGAGATTATACAAATTATCTTCTTCACTGTCTCTGCTGATTTCCGTCCCCCTCTCTCTCTGTGTGTATGAAATAGCAAGCGATACAGTAGGCGTTAATAGAATCAAAATCACACATCTGCTCTTTGATCATTTCTCATTCTCATTCAGCGTTTGTAGAAAATGAGTACATCTAAGCAGAATAATTAAAACTATATAGATAGTCTTTCATTCACATACATCTCCATTTTTTTCCAAGCCTGCGAATTCTTTAACTCGGAATCTGTTGAAACAGCGAGGACATGTATCTGAACAATAATCTCACAACAGGTCCCGGATTGATCCTCTCTGCTATGTGCTAACTTAATTAGCCTTGAGCTTGTCATCTATATCACTCTGAGAGGATTCATGAGAGCTGCACATGGGCTAGTTAGCTCTTGGTTATGTTGTTGCTGTTGCTATTCACTGCAATTTCACACCCCCTGAATCGGATTTCAAGGTTCATTCACCGCTAATTGATTAGCTTTTGCACAAGACACTTAACAGTCAAGTTAGGGTCTTGTTCATGTCATGTCCAGCTACATATCTGATTATTGGGCAATGTAAAGATGATTTCATTGCAGGTAATAAACCATCCAGGTAACATCTTATATAAGTTAATGTGTAATTTACAACAAGAATGAAAATGTTAGTACTAATCTAGAAATAAATCAAAAACAAAAAAAAGAATGAAATGCTACCCCCCTCCCCTATCTTCCCATCCCATCTTATTTTCCCAACTTCATCACTTTCCCAGAAACCTGGTTCCGCACTTCTACCAACTTCCCCTCTTTCACCTTCAACAGAAACTCATCCATCACCCCGATCCCCAGGTCAAAGAACGCAGTGCTAAACCACGATGTGCAACCGTCATCAAACAGCCCTTCACCACCCTCTACCGCCGCACGCGGCTGCGCAGGAGTTAGATGGGGCACAGCTCGGTACTGGAGGAGTGTCCAACCATCATCTGACGGAAATTCCAGGCCAGTAGGGTACAGACGCACGGTCTGGCCCACCCCCTCAGGCAAGACCAAGCCGGGCAGTGTGATGTTTGCCCGCCACTCGACGCCGTCTACAAACCAGGACTTGAGTTCCAGGCCCGTATGGTCTGCCTCAACTGCCAGTGTTGCATTCGAGGCTCCATCGGCTTCATCGTAGAAGGTACCTGCGAAATTCTTCGCGGCATTTTCCATGGCGGCATGCTCAGCGGCTACGACAAAGGTTTCGCCAACTGCGGCGCGGAGAGGCCAGCGGTCACCGCTGGCTGTTTTACCGGCGACGAGGACGGAAAATCCAAGGCCGTGGTCGGGGGATAGGGCGAATATGGTAGTGTACCCGGGCTGACCGCCGCCTTTGGTGTAAATATCGGTGACGCGCGTGCGGTTGGAATTGGGCGAGATGGAGGTTGTTAGGCGGTTGATTTCCCACGGTGCACCGACGCTAGTAGTTAGCGATGAGAGGTGTGCGCGAGGTTTCATCCAGAGGCGGGTAGTGACTGGGGAAAGCAGCTTAGACTGAAGAATGGAGAGGCCCGTTGCGCGGAGATCGGCGAGATTAGAATAGATGCCACCGGAGCTAGTTGATCTGTTAGTTTGGAGGAGGGGGCGAAGAGAGAGAAGGGAAATGAAAGAAAAAAAAAAGAAAAAAAAGGGGGGGGGGGGGGGAACTTACGGCGCAATGATTTGGTTATCGTAACCCCAGGCGGTTTCCGGAGCTTCACCTGGCACTGGAGTCTTTCCTGGAATGATAACCGCGTTCGGGTTTTTGCCTGGAGGCAATATCGAACCAGTAATTTTGAGCCCCAATGGCCTGGCAAGAACGCTCTGAATCGCGTCGTTGTATGTAAGACCTGTCATGCGCTCGAGCACACGTCCTAGTACGCCAAAGCCACTGTCGGAGTAAAGTGAAGATTGAAATATGGGTTGGCTTGGGACTTTCGCATCCCGCATCTGCGCGAGGAATTTTGGAATGGAACATTCATTTTTCTCCGGGATGGGTGAATAACAAGCTGTAAACTCTGGCGGGAACTGGCCGGTACCACCCATATGGCTAGCAAGTGCCCCAACCGTCATGTCTTCCCAGGCAATGCGTTTCAGGGGACCATCGTCGGCATCTTTGGGGGACTCACAGGCTAGCTCCGGCAGATACCTCGTCACCGGGTGATCAAGAACTGCCATGCCGCCCGCATGAGCCACGATGGCGTAGACAGTGAACAGCTTGGAGACGCTGCCCACACGAATGGCAGTCCCATCATCTATCCCACCGGCAGGGAAAGTTTCGTTAAGAGCTGGAGCTGTAGCCTGGTGGAAATAAGAGTAGACCGATTTGTTGGTGACGGTTGAATAGACGTCAATGGCGAAAGAGGACACGGAGCTATCAATGACTCCAGATTCGAATAGAGCTTCAACCACTCCGGGGAAGGAGTCCTTTGCCTTGGTGAAAGCATCCGTTTTGTCCAGGTCAAAATCTGAAGAGAAAGTCGGCCCCAGAAGCGGACATTCTTCTGTTAGAAGCACGCCCTTGGCCCCTGTTAGGGAGAGAAGGGGAAGAACGATAGGGGCGAGGGACCAAAACATTTTGCACTGGGCCGTTCGTTTTAATGATAAAAAGAAGAGACAACAATGTGCGTAATTGTTGTGATGATGGTTCTCTCATGGGAGAGCATCCCATCCTGATATTTATATGCAAATCTGTGGACTCTCAAGACGACGTTGATAGGACCGAGAAAAAGAGCATTTTGACCCCTTATTTCGTCACTTAGTTTGCTCCTTCATGGCGAATTTGAGTGCTGGACGTTGATGATTATCAGCCCAAACGAGAGCAGCACCGCCTGATGCTCCGCCTGTTCAGCCCAAGAACGTCGTTTTTATACGCGCATAGATGAGAAGACGAGCAGATCTCTCTGCCTAGTAGGTATGCGGTGTATGGCTAGAAACGAGGGTTGCGAATACGCGTATATTTAGGGCCGCATTTCTCAGCTTAACTGCGAACTCAACATAATGCGAGTTTATTTATTCGTCCGTTCGTTCCTCTGCGGATCGTCATATTTAACTAGTTAGTTACTAGTAACTAGTTAACTACATAAGTTACTATCTGCTAGCATGAACTCGTTTGTTTCTCTCCCGGCCCAACAAAGTTAAAAAGCAGTTGGTTCAGCTAGTTAGTTATTTACTAGTCATTTGTGTTTTTTATAATAATAAGTTATTATATTCTACTTAACTAGATAATCTCAGTAGTTAGTTAAATTATATATAAACATAACATTAATTATTCTTCTGCAGATTATTATCATTATGATTAGAATATTCAATTCTGCTGTACAGAGTATGTAATGTACAGTACAGTTATGACTCTTGAGAATTGAAATGAACAATATAAATGTCATGTCTTATTCAACAGTGCAGTTGCTCAGTTACCTTTGTCTGTTGAAGTAAATATTCAATATGCAATACCAGTCCATGCAGGTGATAATGCACCTCTCATTCTTTGTGATTCTTCAATTTTTCCTCCAAAGAACTGATCACTATTTAAATACTCTAGTTACAAGTTAACTCATCTCTGGGATGAAGCCCCTGGATATTTAGGCTCAATAGCAACAGTTTAGCTGTTTTATTCTGTTTAGAATTTCAAATCAGCCTTGAGTTATTATAGTAGTTAACTAGTTAATTGGTTTCTTCTGCCTACATGTTGCACTTCATGCTCCATACTCTCCCCTTCTTTACATCCTGGATGCGATGCCTTTGTTTGCCGGGCCGTTTGTTCTCCCCTCCCGAGTTACACAGTCGCGGGATCACGACGCGGGATTGGCTTGCGATTGAGTTTTTTGGTTTTCCCTTTTACGAGGATATGTGAGTACTTAAAGATGAGAGAAACCCAGAATCAATTTGATTAAATGAATTATTTAGTCCTGATTTGCAAAAGAACGGATTAACTACCCTGGAGCTGCTGCGGTTGTAGAAAGCAGAGTTCTTCGCTTATGCACGTCATCTTGATAACTACCATCCAGATGGTAAGTTAGTTAATTTCCCGTTTTCAAGCTTCGATGTATCTTTATAGGTTCATCCTCCTCTCTCGAATCCGCACCGCAACGCACTGGCTGACATAGCTACTCCAAGGCACGATGGAGAGAATTCCTGATCTGGGCTCTCGCTACCCTCCCGGTCTGCACAGCTCTCCCCTCGCGCTCAGCGGAATCCCAATTCCGACCAATCACAGACAATAACGATGCCGGTTTAACAACCATCCGCTCACCAATAAACGAAAACGTCACCATTTCATATAAAACCCTCCCCACGTGGGCTTGTGTGACATCCTCCTCGCACCAAAAGCAATATACGGGTTACGTCCACCTGCCTCCAGAGGCTCTCTCGCCCATCCGGCAAAGTTACCCCATCAACACCTTCTTCTGGTTCGTGGAGGCGAGGCAGAATGCAGACACGGCGCCTCTGACTATATATTTGAATGGCGGGCCAGGGGCCAGTAGCATGACGGGTCTATTTCAGGAGGTCGGGCCCTGTGAAGCTGTAGAGATTTCGCGAGATTGCATTGGTACGCGTGCTCGGGAGTGGGGTTGGGATCGGGCTTCCAATCTGCTTTTCATAGATCAGCCGGTCCAGACTGGGTTTTCGTATGACAGTCTGCGCAATGGATCGCTGGATTTGTTATCTTCGTCTTATACTTTCCCGCCCTCACCTGTACCTTCTAGGCATGGTGAAGGTCTGGTTCTGAACGGCACATTCAGCTCCCGCAATGCCGACGCGACGGCAAACACAACCGCCATTGCAAGTAGAACGGTTTGGCACATGCTGCAGGGCTTTTTAAGCGCGTTCCCACAGTATAACCCTAGCAAAGGTGATGAGGAAGATGGCTCCGCCGCTGGTATCCATCTCTTCACAGAAAGTTATGGAGGGAAGTATGGCCCAGCCTTCGCAGAACATTGGCTGGCACAAAACGAAGCGCGAAGAAACGGCAAACTCCCCAAAGAAACGACGCTTGAAATAAATCTGCAATCCGTCGGGATCCTCCAAGGTTGCATCGACGATCTCATCCAGGAACCCTTCTACCCAATCTTCGCCTACAACAATACCTACGGTATTCAGGCAATTTCTCGCGCGGAGATGGACGCATCGTTAGCAGCGTTCGAAAAAAAGGATGGGTGTGAAGAACGAATAACTGCCTGCCGTTCGAAAGCACTGTCTCTTGATCCCGCGGGGAATGGGGACGTCGATGCCGTTATTGCGCTCTGCCTGGCCGCTATGTACACCTGCTACAATGATATCTTCAGCCCGTTTCATAAATCCAACAGGAGCGAATACGACATTTCACAATCGCGACTCTCCAGCTTCTCCCCACTCACACACCTCACCTACCTCAACATAGCCAGGGTCCAAGAAGCCCTAGGCGTCCAGGTAAATTACACAGATTATAGCAAGGCTGTCCAGTCCGCTTTCATCTCGACAGGCGACTACATGCGCACCTCGTACGTTCCGCATCTGGGCTCGCTGCTGGCATCAGGGGTTCGAGTAGCGCTCATCCACGGTGATCGGGATTATGTCTGCAACTGGATGGGCGGCGAGGCTGTTTCGTTAGCCATCGCATCGTCACCTAACGCCCCAGCACCATACCGAGAGAAGAACGCGTTCAGCGATATCGCCGGATATGCACCCCTAACCATCACCAACGGGGCTTCTGGAAGCTCTTACGTTGGCGGAACGGTGCGCCAGCTCGGCAACTTATCCTTTACGCGCGTCTATGACGCAGGCCACTTCGTGCCTGCCGCTCAGCCGGAGACTGCCTTCACGCTGTTCTCTCGCATCATTGCAGGTGGGAGGGATCTAGGCAGTGGTGACGAGGTCGATTTATCCACTTTTCACACGATGGGGTCGCGAAATTCCACAAAAACGAATGTCGCGCCGCCAATGGCGGAGACAATTTGCTATGTGCGGGCGGTGGAGGCGACATGTTCGATGGAGCAGAAGCAGATGCTGAAAGAGGGGAGAGGGGTGGTTATTAACGGCGTTTTATATAAGGATCAAGATGAATGGGCATGCCGCCGAGGTAATAATGCCTCGAAAGGTGAACAACGTATGAGAGGATTGTCGATGAGCATGGCGTCATTTATGCAAAGGGCACGCCGATTATTTGCTTGATAATTTTCATTGGTGTCGGCGAAATTTTTGTATATTTTAGAGGAAACTTCGGTAGGCGTTCTTGTCCATCCTAATTCCCATCGTTCGCAAGATCTAGATCAGATTGCATGTGTGCCTGTAGCCCATCAAACCCGTAGCCAGAAAACTATCATGACATAGCACGGGAAACAGCAATAACGGGCAAAACTATGCAATGGTAGCCTTTATGTAATATCGACGCATGCAAATGCAACTACGAGAGAAGGATTGAAAAGATAGAAAAACATAAATAATTAACATGAGCAAAGGGACAATAAAAATGGGAATAGAACAAATGAAATGGAGAAGTAAAAGTAAATACCCTTTCCCGCGCAACAGGCCGTATAATTATGTGACAGGTGCAAACCAAATTAGGGCGATATGCATATGTGGACACAGAGTAGCGCAGAATTCATCGTTTGAAAAATCCCGGCTCTTGATTCATTCATATCATTGAAATAATCCTCTATCCAAAAAGATATCAAACGGAAAGAAAAAGAACATCTTAGTGACCTACCAAGCTACCTCTTTATTCTCAAGACGGGCAAAATCTTACACATCAATTAAACTCGCCTCCGCAGCTGTGTTGTCTCTGGTATCTTTATTCCCCTTTGCCCGGCCTTTACCGGAGCGCTGATAATACTCCTCAATGATTTTCCTAGGAATACGATTAAGTAAGTCCTTGGGGTAGATACGGAGTAGATTCCACGCCAAGTCTAGGGACTCGAAGATAGTGCGGGATTCATAGGGTGATTGGGAGATGAATGTTCGTTCGAATTTATCTAAGAACTCGAGAGAGAGCTTATCCTCAGCTGAGAGCGCTTCTTCACCGACGACAGCTTTCATGGCAGCTGGAGAATCATTGGGTTAGTATTTTCAGATATTATGTGTCTTACTTGTAGAAAGGAGTGATGAAAGGGGAATCATACCGGCGTCACGGCCAATGGCATATTTGGCGTAGAGTTGGTTGGATACGTCACTGTGATCTTTACGCGTACGGCCTTCGCCGATGGCAGACTTCATGAGTCGAGATAGGGATGGCAATACATTGATTGGCGGGTAGATACCCTTGTTGTGGAGCTGGCGGTCAACGAAAATTTGGCCTTCGGTAATATAACCGGTCAAATCAGGAATTGGGTGAGTGATGTCTATAGTGGGCAAATTAGCCCTGCCAGCGATATCTTCAGGAGCGCATCCAACAAGGACTTGGACAACAAACATACCGTCGTTAGGCATAGTCAAGATAGGGATTTGCGTAATAGAGCCATTTCGGCCTTCAACACGGCCAGCTCGCTCATAAATGGTCGACAGATCAGTGTACATGTAGCCAGGGTATCCACGTCTACCAGGTACTTCTTCTCTAGCAGCCGAAACCTCTCGCAAAGCGTCACAGTACGCGGAAAGATCAGTTAAGATAACAAGAACATGTTTCTCCAATTGGTAGGCGTAATATTCTGCGGTGGTAAGAGCAAGACGGGGTGTGATGATACGTTCGATTCTGTGTGCATGAAATGGACTATCAGCGGTGTATTTGCTTTTGGGTATGGCGGGGAGAGAGCCCTTACGTGGGATCATTTGCAAGGTTGAGGAATAGTGTTACACGTTCCATACTGCCATTCTCCTCGAAATCACGGGTGAAGAAACGACTTGTTTCCATGTTCACACCCATAGCGGCGAAGACGATGGAGAAGTTGTCTTCATGTCCATCATGCACGTCTTTGGTGGGTTTGCCCACCAAGCTCGCCTGACGACATATCTGTGCGGCAATCTCATTGTGCGGCAGACCAGCTGCAGAGAAGATAGGAATTTTCTGCCCCCGGGCAATGGAGTTCATAGTATCGATGGCTGAGATACCAGTCGAGATCATTTCTTCCGGGTATACCTGGTAAGCCGATTTAGTCTTGGGGAATTAGAATGTCGGGAAGTGCGAGAACCCACTCGTGAGTATGGGTTGATTGGACTGCCATTGATATCAAGATAATCCTCCGCCAGCACCTTAGGGCCTTTATCAATTGCACGTCCGGACCCATCAAAGATCCGCCCAAGCATGTCTTCCGAGACACCAAGCTTGAGACTGTGTCCAGTGAACTCGACTTTAGTCTTTGTAACAATTAGCAGACATATCACCAGTAATAACACAGGCCGCTCTTCATGGAATATTATACCTTTTTAACATCAATACCGTGTGTGTTTTCAAATACCTATTCCACCACTCAGTAACTCCTCCATTTCAAATTTCCAAGCAACTAGACTTCCGCCCAATACTGACCTGCACTACTGCTCTGTCACCTAAAATAAAACACAGCAAGTCAGTACTCCGATATACTACAGAATTCGAGTGATAGGTACACGAGGCATACCTCTGGCTTCCAAAACCTGCCCGGACTTCTCTGATCCATCGGGGAGTGTTAGGGACACAATCTCATTGTAGCGGGGGAATTTAACCTATGCGGCGCGAAGCACAGGCATATCTCATCAGTACACTTGACATAAATCCTGAGCACCACAAACAAAACCAGCACACGCACATTGTCAAGGATAACCAAAGGACCGTTGATGCCTCCTATGGTGTTGTATCGAATGCGAGGGGTGACGGACATCATCCGGGGATCACTGATTCCTGGAGCCATGGTTATAGTTGGTTGGTGCCTAGGGGGATGTTCTCCAGGAGTCTAACGAAAGTGCGGAGCTGATGCGGAGCTGGGGAGCTAGGCCGCACGACTAATGTTCTGGCTCGTTACGGAGGAGGAGGCGGGGATGTGAGAGGGGAGTTTGTTTGTATAGTTAGTTGTAGTCGGTTTCTGATGCGGTCATCCCAGAAAGTAGAGCTCAAGGTGGTAGCTGCGGCACGTGGTGCTGGCAGCAGGTGCGTCTGTGTTCGGGTGACTAAGCGCTCACCCCTTCACATGCTGTTGAAGCTACTACACAAGCCCTAACCCACGTGACCCACACACATCCAGATATTTAGCTTCCACTAGCTGCTAACCGTGCCATGCTTACTCACTCTCTCTAGTGAGTGCACCACAGTGTACAGAAATCCACACTGTATAGAAAATATTTTCAATATCTTCATTCTTCATCTTCAAATAATCATTATTAATTATAATCATGTTTAAATCTTCTAATTACACTGAGAAGCAGTTACAACAAGCTATTAATATATATAAAAGTAATTTAAAATTAAAAATTATATCTCTGTTATAAGAATTCAAAGTCTTATATATTATCTTATATAAGAGAATTAATAGAAAGAAATCAAGAACTATAAGAGTTTTACTGAATTAAGTATTAAATAACAGTTAGAAAGAGATAATTAAAATATGAATTTATCAGTTAAATATTAATTTTTATCAGTTTATTATCAAGTATATCAAAGCTGCTACAAACTGTTTATTAAAATAGTATTATATAGATTCAGAGACTGTATCTCTTATAGTAAGTAAGATATAAGTATATTAATTCATTAAATATCTATTAGATTATAAATAAGTTAAGTAAAAGTCTATAAATTTAAAATAAGTATCTTATAAGAATATAAGTTTCATTATTAACTAATTTAATTAATATAAAATTATCTTTAATTAATATTATTTTTTTCACTGTAATATCTATAACTTTAATATGATTGAATTTCAAGAAGAAGAAGAATATAAACAGTGAATTATAATTATTTTTAAAGATATAAATTTTATTATACAGTTATTATACTTCTGTAAGTTAATAATAGTGATAAAGTATATTAATATAGATAATATAGTATTAAATTTATTAATTATAATAAATTAAAGATTTATCTAGAGAATTAATATATATACTTTAACTTATTTAATAATTATACTATCACTATATCTGAGTCTGGCTTTATAAATGATGAGATTGAATTTGAATGAATTAAGTGATTTAATAAGATAATAAAAAAGCATTAAATAAGTAGTTATTAACTACTATTAATGAATAATTATAATTCTTATCTTATAAATGTCAGATTTTCTCTCTATAAGCTGACTACTTCTGTATAAGTAAGATATTCACTGATTACTTAGTAAATGCCTATTATATATAAAAGATCATATAATAGATAGATCTTGATAATCAATCAACTACTCTATTATATCATCTTTATCAGATTATGTGTAAGAGGCTTACACTGAATAGATCAGTATAATATTATAGATCTTATATAATAAAGAGAAAAATGTTAGAGAAGAAAAGAAAGAGAAAGTGTAAAAATCAGCAATTGAAGTGAATATTTATACATATATATGATGATGTACACAGTGAAGCTTCAGAGTGAAAGAATTTATATATATTCATAACAGCTGAGAATTAATGATCAAGAATAACTGAGAATCAGAGTGTATATATTTGAGAGTGAAGTGAAAGAATCTATGAAGTGTAACAGAATAGCTTATATAATTAATCAGACACAGCTCATCATATTAGTCTTCTTCTTCCAGAAGTAGTTCTCATCAGTCAAGAGCTGCTATTTCAGATAATATAAAACTCAGAGTTCAGATCAGTTAATTATAGCTGACTTATTTTATAAGATATTATTAGCTGCAGCTGCAGAGTCTCTTATTGAGAATATTCTTAATCTCTCACTCAAGCTCATTATCTTCTTCTATGATGTCTGATAACTGTCAGTCAGAAGTCAGTTGAGAAGGAAATGAATTAATAACAGCATGATAAAGCAAGCTTGTGTGAAATACATCATGAATTTCTAATGATGTGTTAAGATAATAGTTGTAACTATCTAGAACTTCTATCACTTTATACCTGATGTAATGATAATCTAGTGTATGAGATGAATATATAATCTGTATATTCTTAAGATTCAATTATACTAAGTTTTCTATCTTATACTGCTCAGCGGAATCTTGATGAATATTGATTTGATTCTCTTAATCTTGTTTCACAGCTGTCATGAAGGCTTCTGCTCAGTTATAAGTGTCTTGAAGCTTTATTACTATATTATCAGCAATCTGAATCAGACTGCAGAGATTCAGTGTGAACTGTATAATCTCTAGAAGATTTAATATCTTTATATAATAACTATATATAAGAAAGAACAGACTTATATCTGTTGAAACAGCATCTTGATCATTGATAGCAATCTCTGTGTGTAGAAGAAGATCATGTCAATTATCTTATAAGTGATTGCAGAACTTATAAAGATAATTCTTCTCAGTCTGAATTATCTGTTCTGACACATCATTGATCTTGAGATGATAGACAGTTGACAGATAGTGTGTAATCTTGAGAACTTAACAGATTCTTGTTCAGAGAGTGCTCATGAATTAACAGTCTTAATCTGATACTATAGATCTCAGT